GAAGAAGAAGAAGAAGAAGAAGAAGAAGAAGAAGAAGAAGAAGAAGAGAAACAACCAATGAAATCTGAAATAATAGAGAAAGATAAATATAACCATAAAGTCATGGACAAGGCTACTTCTGTTTCAAGTACAAACTTGATACTCAGAATGCCAGAAGAAAAGAAGGGAAGAAAGAAAGACTTTATAGTCTTTCTAAGCCCAAATACATCGGACATCAAAATCACCTTGAATGGGTCAGCAGCCCTGTGTTTCCTTTCACAGGACTTGGACAGTTAAGGACCAGTGGATCTTGATGGAAACCCTTATAGAAAACAGGAGCCATAACAAATGGAAAAGGAAATCAAAGAAGCAGAATGCCAAGCGACGTGGCAGAGTGACAAACAGCAGGTTCCCCAGCATAATTAGCCCTCACAGAGTCCCACCAGCAACTATGCACAGACAAAAAGTAAACAAAGAAAGTTCAGTCAAAGCTAAGATTAGAATTCAACCCGTGTCAGCCATGTGACCCACATAGCAGAGCGATAATCACATGAAAAGAGAGAGATGGTGTCTCGTCTTGACTCATTGTTTCCTTCTTTTCTTCAAGAAGTCAGCAAATGTGACAGACTTTTCCAGAGACTGTGGTTCCTACAGAGGGAAAGAACTGGAGAGCAGCACCCAGCTATCCAAGGAACCCCTGCTTTCCACAGAAAGGCTATTCCATTTCCCCTCAGAGGAACATGGTAGGAAAGGCAAGGCTAGTCCATCTGGAGTCCGACAAAAACAAAAAGAAAAGAAAAGAAAAGAAAAGAAAAGAAAAAAAGAGAAGAGAAAGGAAAAGGAAAGAAAAAAAAGGAAAAAGAAACATTCAAGGATCTTACAATAAACAGGTTGCTCTCTACACCTGTGTTGGCACAAGATCAGAGCTTCCCTACAAGAGAGTATCCCAACTACACACCCAGGCTTTCTACTCCCCAAAGTGCCCAAGGAAGTTCCACATAGTTCAAATTGCTAGGTGGTCTGCCTTGAGGACAAGCATTAGACTTACACAAGGACCCCCTATGCCCTGCCTCCACCGTGAAGAAGAATGGCCTCCACAACAAATTCTGGCAAAGAGCAAGAAGTGATTTGCCATACCTAGGAGTTTAACAGAGCTCTGTGTGGCATCCACTCCCACCGCTGGATCCTGCCCAGGTGAGACAGCGACCACTGGAGCTCATTCTCTCAGAGAGCAGCAACTGGCTGCGTCATTCCCAGGAGGAGAAGCGCATTCACAGACCTCAAACTCGTGCCGAGGCTCCACCCATGCAGGAATTGAGCCTCAGTTATA